ACATTGAGATACCATCTCACGCCAGTTAGAATGGCAATCATTAAAAAATCTGGAGACAACAAATGCTGGAGAGGATGTGGAGAAATAGGAACACTTTTACACTGTTGGTGGGAGTGTAAATTAGTTCAACCATTGTGGAAGACAGTGTGGTGATTCCTCAAGGAACTAGACATAGAAATTCCATTTGACCCAGCAATCCCATTACTGGGTATCTATCCAAAGAATTATAAATCATTCTATTATAAAGACGCATGCACATGTATGTTCATTGCGGCACAGTTTACAATAGCAAAGACCTGGAACCAACCCAAATGCCCATTGATGACAGACTGGACAAGGACAATGTGGCACATATACACCATGGAATACTATGCAGCCATAAAAATGATGAGTTTGTGTCCCCTGTAGGGACATGGATGAATCTGGAAACCATCATTCTCAGCAAACTGACATAACAGAAAATCAAACACCACATGTTCTCACTATCACAGGCGGGTGTTGAACAATGAGAACACATGGACACAGGGAAGGGAGCATCACACACTGGGGTCTGTTGGAGGAGACTAGGGGAGGGACAGCAGGGGGTAGGGAGCTGGGGAGGGGTAACATAGGGAGAAATGCCTGATATAGGTGACGGGGGGGATGGAGGCAGTAAACCTTTACATTGCCATGTATACACCTATGCAATAATCCAGCATGTTCTGCACATGTACCCCAGAACCTAAATTGCAATCAAATATACATATTTTTTAATTTGTCTTTTTGTATAGATGTCTTGCTATGTTGCCCAGGCTAGTCTTGAACTCCTGGGCTCAAATGATGCACCCTTTTTAGCTTCCCAAAGTGCTGGAATTATAAGCATGAGCCACTGTGCCTGGCCCATTTAATCTCTAAAAAGAATTAGACTTTCTCTAACCTCTTTTCTTCTGAGTCCTCCTCACCAGTGTTAACAGAAAAACCAAATTCTGTAAAATATCTTACAAAGGTTTATTCTGAGCCAATGTAAGTGGCCATAGCCTGGACAGAGTCTCAAGGAGTCCTAAGCAAGCATGCTCTAGGCAGGTGGATTACGGTTTGGTTTTATATGTTTCAGGGAGGCAGGAATTACAGGCAAAGACATAATTCAATATATAGAAGGTGTATATACATTTGTTTGGTCCAAAGAAGTGGGCTATCTTTTTTTTCTTTTGAGACAAGCCTTGCTCTGTCAGTTAGAGTGCAATGGGGTGAACACAGCTCACTGCAACCTTCACCTCCTGGGTTCAAGCGATTCTCCTGCCTCAGCCTCCTGAGTAGCTGGGACTACAGGCATGTACCACCATGCCCAGCTAATTTTTGTATTTTTAGTAGAGACAAGGTTTCACCATGTTGGCCAAAATGGTCTCAATCTCTTGACATTGTGATCCACCTGCCTCAGCCTCCCAAGGTACTGGGATTATAGGCATTAGTCACCATGCCCAGCATTTTTTTTTTTTGAGACAGAGTCTTGCTTTGTTGCCCAGGCTGGAGTACAATGGTGCCATCTCAGCTCACTACAACCTCTGCCTCCTGGGTTCACATGATTCTCCTGTCTTCCTGAGTAGCTGGGATTACAGGTGCCCGTCACCACATCCAGATAACTCTTGTACTTTTTTGTTTTAGTAGAGACGAGGTTTCACCATGCTGGCCAGGCTGGTCTCTAACTCCCGACCGCAGGTGATCCGCCCACTTCAGCCTCCCAAAGTGCTGGGATTACAGGCATGAGCCACCGTGCCCAGCTGTTTTGTTGTCATTGTTGTTTGAGAGAGTTTCACTCTTGCTGCCCAGGCTGGAGTGCAATGGTGCAATCTTAGCTCACTGCAACCTCCGCCTCCCTGGTTCAGGCAATTCTCCTGCCTCAGCCTCCTGAGTAGCAGGGATTACAGGCATGCACCACAATGCCCAGTTAATTTTGTATTTTTAGTAAACATGGGGTTTCTCCATGTTGGTTAGGCTGGTCTGGAACTCCTGACCTCTGGTGATCCACCCACCTTGGCCTCCCAAAGTCCTGGGATTACAGACGTGAGCCACCACACTCAACCCTTTTTGTTTTTTTCTTGAGACACGGTCTTGCTCTGGCACTCAGGCTGGAGGGCAGTGGCATGATTTATCTCGGCTCACTGCAACCTTCCCCAGGGCTCAAGCAATTCTCCCATGTCAGCGTTCTGAGTACCTGGTACTACAGGTACGTTCCACCACACTGGAATAAATTTTTTGGTTTGTTGTTTTTTGTTTTTGAGACAGAATTTCGCTCTGTCGCCCAGGATGAAGTCCAATGGGTGATCTCGACTCACTCCAACCTCTGCCTCCCTGGTTCAAACGATTCTCCCACCTCAGCCTCCCCCAGTACCTGGGATCATAGGCACCCGGCATTGTGCCCAGCAAATTTTTTTTTATTTTTGGAGAGACGGGGTTTCACCATGCTGGCCAATCTCATCTCGAGCTCCTGACATCAGGGTCTCCCAAAAGTACAGGGTTACAGCTGTGAGCCACCACACCTGGCCTATAATTTAGTATCTTATGGCCACAAAAAGTCTGTTTTGCCAGTCTATGATGTCCATTTTAACATGAATCCTGGTCAGTTGTGCCTAAACTTCAACAAGGAGTTGGTATAATGAAGCGTGTTAGAGTTCCCTTACCATGATGGCCGGGAACTCAGTTTTTCAGGTTACTCTCTGGGGTATCATTGGCTAAAAAGGGGTCTGTTTGGTTGGTGGGAGACAGGATTTTATTTTTAGTCCGCACCAGAATTGCCCTTAATGCTCCATTCATAGCAATCTAGGTCTTTTCCAGAATTCGCTTTATTTTTTATTTTTTTATTATTCATTTATTTTTGAGATGGAGTCTTGCTCTGTCACCCAGGCTGGAGTGCAGTGGCATGATCTAGGCTCAGCACAGCCTCTGCCTCCCAGGTTCAAGTGATTCTCCTGCCACGGCCTCCTAAGTAGCTGGGGCTACAGGTGCTCACCACCATGTCCAGCTAATTTTGTACTTTTAGTAGAGACAAGGTCTCATCATGTTGGCCAGGATGATCTCAATCTCTTGAGCTCATGATCCACCCGCCTC